CTAGGCATGGGTATTTTTTTCCCCAAAAGTTCAAATTTATTTTCTTTTTTATTGTTGTTGAAAGTATACACAACAAAAACATATACCAGGTTCAACAATTTCTATATGTAAAGTTCAGTGACATTGATTACACTCCTCAAGTTTGTTCTGGTTACCTAGTGCCACTCTGACAACAGTATACCACCAATGGGATGGTTTCAACAAACAGGAGTTATTCTCTTGCAGTTTTGGAGGCTAGAAGTCCAAGTTCAAAGTGCCAGTCTCCAGGGGCTGGGTGAAAACCCCTTAACCTTGGACTTCAGCTCTGCTTCTTGCTCCTGGCCCACTGAAGCTAGAGGCATCTCTTCACTCAGGCAGCTGTTGGCTGCTGAGGCTGACAAACCCAAAGTCAGAGGCACGGTCCTGATGTTACCAAACCACACAGCAGGCCATTGATTCAAGTCCATCAAAAGTCCCGAGATCAGCAGAGCATGGCAGGCTGTTGAACAACTCAGCTACACACAGGGTTCAAGTGTGCCATAAGCTGGAGACCTCCCTCAAAGTTGCTTCTTATATACGGGAAGCAGACCACATCCCTAAAGCAGCTACTCAGCTGCTCCAATAAATTCCACCATGGAGTTAATTACCAATCTCACTATGGTGAATGACTACCTCCAGTTGCTCAGCCACTCAACCAGGCTCAGCCAAATTGACACACAAACTTCCCCACCGCGACGTTGTGTTACCAGTGTCATCTCCTTTTCTGAGTTCTTCCTTCTTCATTAACACAGACCCATTGCCCCCTAAGCTTCCTATCAATTAGCAACTTTCTAGTTGCTTTTGTCAGTTTGATCCCATACAGATAATTCTTCAAAAGAGCACAATATTCAAGGCCAACATTCTTAACTAAACAAGCTAACTTAGCATTGGATTTAAAGAAGACTTCAGGGGATATTTTTTTTATTTAAAGTTTAGGTTTAAAGATTAAAGATTGTCTCAGGGCAATAGTTTTGGGCTCTCATCTAACTTCAGTGGCTCCAGGAAGTCTAGATTCTACAAGAATTTGAAATTCTGGTCCACATTTTTCTCCATTTGATCAGGATTCTTCTATAGAAGCTTTGTTCAGTATGTTCAGTAATGGTAACTCGGCACCATCCAGTTCCTCTGGTCTCCTGGCAAAAGAAGCAATTGTTCATGGAGACTGTTTGCCACATACACCACGTCCTTCTCCTATTCCTGACTCTCCTCCTTCCTTTGTTGCTCCAAGCAAGTAGAGACCAGTTATTGTGCCTTGAATGGCCACTTGCAGATTTTAAGACTCCAGGCACTACACCATGAACTAGAGCAGTATTAGGCCAATTACTTGTGATATCCCATGAAACCATGACCTTGACAGGCGTGGGTATTTTTAAAGTTCCCCCAACAAAACTAACAGTATGGCCAGGGTTGAGGTCCACCAGGAAGGAGGAGGGCAGACCTCCTAGTGTTAGGGAGATTCTACTTCTTGAGGCTCACATCCTGGAGGGAGAAGGAAGCTGCCTTGTGGGCCAGATTGTTCTGTTTGTTTTTCACTACATATCATTTGCAGTCCCTGGTAGTGCAAATGGTCAGTGAGCTTGGCTGCTGCCCAAAAGGTTGGAGATTCAAGTGTCTCAGAAGAAAGGCCTGGCATTCTGCTTCCAAAAAATCAGCCATTGACAGTTCTGTGAGTGCAGTCTCTGCTCTGACACACATGGGGTCACCACGAGCCAGAGTGGACTTGATGGCAGCTGGGCTGTCTCATTAGGCTTACAGGGCATGATTGAACCGTGGTGGACTTCCTTCCAAAATGATCCTGAGAACATTTGCTTACTTTAAATATGACACGAGACATCTTGATAGATCAGGTTGCATTCTGATCGGGGCCTTGAATGACCTTCACATCTAGGTCTGTTTTCTTATTCTTTGAAACTTTACCCAGAAATTAACATTCTCTGACAGATCTTTCCAGAAATATATGTATGTTCACAGTTAAAAAACAGAGACAAGTGGATAATATATAAATCCAAGGAGAACTCGTCTGTACTTACATATGCTTTGAACTGTTTTAGAAGTAAATTATATCATGTGTGTCTGTGTTTTGTTGGAGGCTTACA